ATGTCAGTGGCAACTCAAATTCCATTTGCCCCAAGTCAAACTCATTATGTCTTCCTCATACCTGTTTCTTCCTTCTATATTCACATTGGTAAGGCTCAACACCACCATTCACTGCTAGCCATATCCAAAGCTTGGAATTTTTTCCATAGCAGGGGAGGCAAAGGCCTATGGGGGAACCAGGTATCACATTTACTTTTTAAGCAACAAGTGTATACTTTTTGACATGTACCAGGCATGTAATTTGCATTTCTTAAAAGTCAACTCATTTAATACTTGTAACAACTCTATGAAGTAGAAGTAGGTACTATTAGCCTAGTTCATAGATGGGTAAACAGAAGCATAGACACACTATTGAACATGCTCGAGGTCACTGAGCCAGTGAGAGCCAAGATGTTAATGCAGAGATTCTGGCTCCATGAAAGTCAACAAAGTGTCTGTCTGTCTGTCTTTCTCCTTCCCTGTCTTCAGAGCTGATGAATACTTCCTTCATCTAAGCAAGCATTGAACTCTTTGCAACTCCATGTCAACGTTTCATTTTATGGCTACTGAGCAATCTACCACATCTTCCTAAGATTCCATTCATTACCCACCACAGCCTTAGTTCAACCCCAAGTCATTTCTTGTCAACTACCATTACTTGTCTGCCATCACTTTGCCTCTTCCTAGTCCATGCTCTTCATAAACAAGTCAGCAAACTTTTTCTGCAAGTGGCCACACAGTGTTTCAGACTTCCTAGGCCATAGGGTTTCTACATCATAATCATTTAACTGTCCCTGTAGCATGGTATCAGCATAGATAAATGGGCGTGACTATGCTTCAATAAAACTGTATTTACAAAAGGATGTGATCCTTGCCCAATAGTGCTATCTCAGAAGTATTCTTAATCCCCTTCCTTCTACCAAAATATATTCCAGATAATCTCCAAATCTTAGAAAATACAAAAATAAAGACATTAATGAAAGCGATTGTAAACACATAGTGGTGAAACCTATAAATGGAAAAAAAAAATTTGAATATATAAAGGTTTAAAAATCTCAGTGGGCAAAGTAAAATCAACAAAATATTACAAGTAATGTAAAAATTAAAAAGGCAAGATATGAAATATCTGTAAGAAATGTGATTCATGAAATGCTAATTTTTACATTTCCTGCAATTATTTGGAATTTAACCTTTCAGTGCCTCCCACATGCCAATCATGCTGTTGGGTGTTTTTAATATAAAACATGACTTAATTATTAAAAAGTATTAAGAAGTGACCAAGAATATAAGAAACAAGTAATAAAAAAATAAATGGGATCAAAGAGAAAAAGATTCTAAATCTTACCAAAACCTAACCAATGAAAATTTACACAATTTTTTTAAAGAACAAATTGCCAAATGCAGGCGCATAGTATAAAGAAATCAGATTTTCATATGCTATTGGAGCAAGTGTAAATTATGCTGTCTTGTGGGAAATTAGATGTGAGACCAAAGCTTGTGTTGAACTCTCCTTGAGACCTGGGGGTAGGGATAGCAAGTCATCCCTCCCTGGGGTTTGTTTGCTAGTATGCTGGTGCCAGCCAGTTTCAAGGAGAGAACCAACAACAGCTGAGGTTTGATTAAAAAAAAATACACATATGGGTGCAGTCTACAAATCATGAGAATCTCAATAAACTTTCCCCGAACCCTGAATCACATGCTTGCTTCTGGTTTGTGCAAGTCTAATAAAAGTAAGAGCACCGCCAGATTGGGGGCTCTAGGTCCACCAGCGACAAGACTCTGCTGGTTTTCCTCTTCCAAATTGTCTTTGTGTCTTTTGTCTTTAGTCTTTGTTGGTTCCCCAGTTGGGGATAAACTCATAGGCTGGTTCCTATACTATCTTTTTTAGGAACTGGTTGACTTATTAAAATCACAATGTTTAAAGTCAGCCATAACATTCTTAAATACTTATCCTACAGATAAACTCAAGAAAGCATTTAAGACGTATGCACATAAAATTACTTGTCTTGTTAACATAAAACTGGAAACATCCTTAATATTTACCTGTAGAGGAATAGTTAAACAATGGCAGACTTATATAATGGAACAGTATGCAGTGAGGCAAATACTGTCAGTGAAAGCTATACTTTTATAAGAAGATAGCCATTTCTATAACACATACATTGTATTTTCTATACATATACTGTATATAATGTTTAATAATTATATAATATATAAACTTACAGTAGTACTATATATGTATCACTACTACATAGTATATAGTATACTCCTGTACTATATATATAGTTTAGTTTTATTTCAGTTAAAGAAAACAACCACATCTACATCTGCATAAAAGTATATAGAGAGAAGGCTACATTTCAAGGAAATGTCTGATGGAAAGAGTACTTCTCCGATTTAAGATGTACCCTTCTGTACTGAGTTGGTTTTTTTTTTTTACAATAAGCTTATATTAACTATAATTAATACAAATAAATGATAAGTAAGACAAAACACAAAGCGTTCATATGCCTTCCAAGAATCTTCCAGGCTAAGCACTGTGGTATAGCAGCTGAACTCTTCCAACACACTATGCACACCCACATGATGACGAGCTCTGCCCCACCTCTCAGTCTCAGTTGACTCATGCCACCCAAGCACCTCTCCCATGATTTTGAAGTTATGCTGGGTTACTCAAAGTCAAACTTCAGTTTTATGAACTATATATAAGGCTTCTTTGCCTTTACAAAGGTTTCTTTTGCTTAGAATTCCATCCTTGTCTTCCCTGCCTAGTAAAAACTTCTTCACTTCAATCTCCTGCACAGGCAGAAATAATCTCAAGGGAAACAGCACACATTAAACATACAATCCAGCATTTACCTGTAATTATTTGGAAACTAATCTTTCAGCTTCTCCTGCATATTAGGCATATTGTTGTGTTCTTTTAATGCACTGTGTGATTTGATTCTTGAATGTCTTATTATTCCTACTCTATAGGTATAAAAATAGTTTTAATAAGATTAAAGAACTGCCCAATATATCCCTGGCTAGTAAATGTTACAGATACGAGGTGAACTTAAGACTGGACCAAGAGTTGGCTTACTAGACAGGCCCTGAGAGGACCTGACTGATAAAATAGGCAGATCAGTCTCCCTTGGAGGCTGGAGGAACAATATGGGGTGGAAATAATGGACTCAGTCACAAGTTGGAGGAAAGGGAAAAAACGTGTTTGTGGGGAAGAGTGTGATCATTCTAGATTATAATGTTCCTGTAGAACCAGGCAAGTTGAGGCAGGAGGCAATAGTAAGAAATGGTAGACTCTAGTGCAGGTTAGGAAAACTGAAAGGAATATTTTGAAGAAGTTAGTCTGGCAGCTCTGTCCAGCATAAACTGTAATGGGGGAAGAGTGAAGGAAAAGATGACAGTCAGAAGCTGCTACAAAATCCAATGGCCTCTGTATTTTGCACCAAAGTTGCATGGCAGCTTCACAAATGGGGACAAGAAAGCAAATATTTTGGGTATTACTAAAGATTCTCTTGATAACATTTACACATTTGACTAGAGATGAAAGGGAGAATGGAGAGCAGAGTTAAGACTGATCCAAAGGTTTCTCATCTGAGGGGGGTAAAGAATGCTGGTAGTGCTGACAGAAATGGGACAATAAGAAAGGAGAACTATTATGCAGATTAGACATGTTAAATGATGGTACATAAAAAGATCCTGCTGCTGACAGGGCCTCTTCTAAAGTCTACAGTTTGGGGCCTCATTTCTTGGGTGACATCCTTATGACGATAAATTATGTACAGTAATTTTGAACACATCAACAACATGACACTCCAACCACTCGTATAAATGAGAAAAGATTAACTTCTTTAGAAACGTGATGATTTCTTGCTTAGCTAGCACCAAGCAGGAGACAGGATATCGAGTAAAATCACTCATTATTTTAGAGCAACACTATGGAGTCTCACTAAGATTATTCAACTCCTTCACAAAACCCCCTACGTCTATTTAGCATGCCCCAACAAAGGATTTTCTTTAAGTAAAGTTAGTCACTTACAAAAGAAGTTGTCTATCTTAGCCCCGCTTACTCTGGATTTTCGGGCTCAACTCTCTAAAAAGCAAACAAAATCATTCTTTCTCAAGAGAGTTCTCTACTCTCAAACTCCCTGTTTTCTTTATTGGACTCTTCAACATTAATTTCCAACTTTCTGTCTTCAAAGGGTACTTCATTTAGCCTCATCATTCACCAATTATAGTGTGTGTCTTTACTCTCATCCAAGAAGATAACAAAGTAGGTCTTCAGTGTGCAGATGATCTACATACACCAGGTTAGTTAGCATGGAATAAAGTATACCTAAGTTAATCTATGAGATTAAATAATAAAGCTTTACCTGAATCACAGGTTGGCTGTCACACCCAAAAGACATAAATATGGAGTAGTAAGCAACTGTATATAATAAAACTTAGTATCGTGTACTAGCATTAGGAAAAAAACCCTCTGGTTCCAAACCTCCATTCAGTAAAGCACTCTATCATCCTGCATACATGGCGTGATCCCACAGGTCCTGTAAGAAGCAAAACTTGGAAGAGGCCTGGAGCCCCCGTGGCCATTATAAAGAGCACTATCATCCTGCATACATGGCGTGATCCCACAGGTCCTGTAAGAAGCAAAACTTGGAAGAGGCCTGGAGCCCCCGTGGCCATTGTGGATTCACACCACAGTTCAATTCCTCTTGTTCTACACTTTTAAAACACAGTAGTTGTAAAAAAAAACACTAAAGACAAAGAAAGAATTAAGCAGGCTAAACATTCTACTTTAATAGTCAAATAATTTTAGTACATATACCATTTACAATTCTGGGTAAAAAAATCTCAGAAAATTGGATTTTGAATTTTAAATAGAAAACACAAAAAACGCTGAGGACCTGTAATTTCAAAGTATTCTTTTGGAGGCCGTAAACAAAATTTCCTTTTGCTCAAGTGGAACAAAAAAAAAAAAAAAGTTGCAAGTAAGTAACTATGTCAAAAAAACAAAGTACCTGTGAGTTTGATTTTGGATAGTCGAGCCAAAATGCCTGGCAAGTCGTCAAGATGCACCTTCATCTCTTTCCACTGCTTTTCCTCTTTTGTCTCTTTGCCCACATCTATCGAGCCTTCAATTGTGGAAGCAGATTCTAGTTCTATCAGCTGCTTTTCATCTGGCTTTATGGACAAAGAGGGGCTTAGGGGTGAAAGAGGTCTCATCTCATCTATTTCTGCTTTGGCTTCATCTGAAGACGTTTTTTCAAGGAAAGGAGATGCCACTGGTTTTGGCTTTGGTTTTACTTGCTGATTCAGGATCCTATTCACTTGTGTGACATACTAGAAAGTAACAACAAAATGAAACATGTTACTGAAAAATTCTAGCCTACAATGCTCTTAAAAGGTTGTTTGGAAACATCTTTGATCACTTTGTCTTTTACAGTACTTGAAAACATCTACTACAATTTTACTGTTAGCTAATTCAGCATGTACTCATAGAGTATCCACGACATGGAAATCATCCTATTGGGTGAGATAGGGAGAAAAAAACTAATACCTCAGCAATGGTTTTCAAATTCTGTGGTTTAGAAAAAATCTCAAAACTCTAAGTTCCTAGAAAGGAAAATACATCTTTTTTTTTATTTTACTCATCATCCTGGAAGCTTAACATTCCAAATACAATGAAAAAAATTCCTGAAATCAAAAGCCAAGGTCAGCCTGTAACGTTTCAATGTTCTTAGGCACAGTGCTGAGAAAGGCTGAATGGGAAGGCATAACCCAGAGCTGAATGACATCTCAGCAGTATGGTATGAGGAAAAAAACAAGTTTTAGTCAGATAGTCCCTTGCACTTATTATTAGAAATTAGTAATAACTATTAACATTTGCAAGACACTTTTATGTTATATCTCATTTAATTTCTCAAAAGTTGTTAAGGAAGATGGATTATCTCTCTTTTTTAAAATTTATAGCTGAAAGGGCCAGGGATTTAGCTCAGTGGTTCCACCACCTGCCTAACAAGCACAAGGTCCTGAATTTGATATCCAGGACCCCCCGCAAAAAAAAAGAAAAAAAAAAAATTCAGCTGAGGAAACCAAGCCTCTGAAAAAAACAAAGCCAGGAGTTAATCAATTATACGTAGCCCTAGGAGGAGGAGTCCTCTATGCTGCTAACTAGTTATGTGCCTTTTTCTTTACATCACAAAGACTTAAAATTAAAATTCTAGTCTTAGACATAAACTACAAGCTGACACACGAATTCAGTTACGTTTACATAAAAAAGGCATACATTTTCAACTTTTTCTAAATGTCTATCCTTGGTTCTTCAACTTAAAAAGGAGGAACATTTCTAGAAACTCAAATCTCTTGTCAACATATCAAGTTTTAGTAAGATTTTGTTATATTTAAACTTTAATTAGTATTTTAAGCTAAGGAAATATGGCAGAAATGTGAAACAGAGGATTAGAGTATGAATTTGCCATTCTTCACGAGGCAGTATGAGTTTTCAGTGATATCTCCATTGTATGCTCATTTCTGTCTCAGAAAAATGGCAAATACTCTCACTGATAATTGAGAGTAAGCCTGGACATTGCACATAATATACGCAGTCAACATAGATAAAAGAGGTCAATTGAGATATATTACCAGTGTCCATTATAAAATACCTAGAACATTAAAAGAACTCAAATATATGTCTACTCCACAATGAATTTGTTAAAAAGCTTTATAAATGCACAGATGATTTAAGAAAATAGGAGAATCACACTATTAAAACAATTATTTCTATATTTCTGACATAGTTACAGAACAAAGGATTTTAAAAGATGTACCATAAAGTTCAGCTTTTCCAAATTTTAGCCTGGTTGAAAGATGCCAGAAGTTTTCAATCTTTCTCCAAAATTAATCAATAAGTTCAAGATCATACTTTAAACCTCAACCACCAGAATTATTCTGGCTTTGGTTAAGAATAATCAAAACAAGAGATTAAAGTTTTGGATACTCAGGGCACTACATAAAAGTCTTTTTCAAAGGGTATTTCTAAAACTTTTCTTATAGGAATTTCTGAAATTCCCTCATACAGAGAAAAGTACAGGCAGCAAGTAACAAAGTATGGTCTTTGAAACATACCATGCGTTTGAGGAAGTTAAAGTGCTGAAATGTAATCCATTGCTTATTGACATTTCTGAAAAGGTGCATAAACTTATGAGGGGATTCCAGTAAAGCTCTTCTTTCTAGATACCAGACACATCCTCCTACCCAACCTATAAGAGAGAGAAAGGAAGAAATGTTAAAATAACTAATGCTTCTCATCAAATGATGACTATACTTGTCCAGAAGCAAAGCCAGCCAAGTCAAGTGATGTACTGTGTGACAGATTAGACTCCAAAATGATCTAATTCAGATTTGTGAATAAATGCAACTTATCAGCCCTACTACTCATTGTTTAAATCAGTACAATTCCTCAGGAGGGCTCAACTAATTTTTCATTTCTAGATCATTACACTTATATTAAATTCTGAAATGATTGCACTGTAGATATTTTAAAGAAACAAATACAAAACAATCAGTTCATCTACTTTTTAAAAACTAGAAAACGAAAAGCACAATTTCTCAACAAATGATAGTAAGATAAAATATACATACCTCAGGTTAGTATTTTGGTTTTGCAGGTTAAGACAACTAAAAAGAAATAGTTTTCACTGAAATATAACTTACCAATCTAGTTAAGAAAAAACTATTTTCGTTGTACCCACATGTGACGTTTAATCATTTTTCTACATCTTCTCTCAAATCAACAAAATCAATACTTCTGTTTCAGACCTCATCCTAGTCAAGTTTTTGATAGTCTGTATAACAGAATAGTTTTGCCCTTTTTAAGTCTTTCCTCTAACCATTTTCATAAAATAAAAGGTTCTTTTGGTTCTCTGCTTTCTGCTTCTCAGTTTCCTAAATGTCTCCTCTTTCCGAGTCTGTCACTTTAAGGCAATCTGGTTCCCACTGTTGTGAACAATAAATACTGTCCCCGAGCAAATAGGTAACTGTTAATCATCAACCCATTTCCAGAGACATTATCCCTATATCTAACTGCTCTTGATATTTCCATGTGACTGGACAGAAGCACATCTTTAAGAATACTTCCTCTCACCCTTCTGTTTATTCTCTACTACAGAGAAAAAAACTATCACTTATTTAAGACTTTAGGATCATGGTATCTCTTCCTTTATCACCTAACAATGATCAAGTACAGTATAGTGAATTCTAAAATACAGGTTAGCGCTATCTATACCTTCCTACTGATACAGAACCCTATGATCTTATACTTGCACCACGGTAACAGTAGTAGGTGTCAAGCCAGTCACCCTGCCTTCAGTGATTTCTTTCCACTTTAACCACATTCCCCAAATTTCTTCCTGAAGCCCAGAATACATACATATTACTCACTCAAAGCTATAGACACAATTCAGCAAAACAATCTTGCCTCATGACTTTCCACTAAACACATTGAACACTTTATAATTTTCTCGACTTTATGTTGCTTTTTTGCTTACAATCAACTTTCTGCCTGTCAGATTTTCAAAGTATCCTTCAACTATTCACTTTATATCATGTTTTATGATATTTCTTATTGCAAACTGTTTCCAATATCATGTTTGTTTATTAGTTTTTTAACACAGTGGCAAGGACTCTACTAACCCTGGCTAGCATAGTATTTTCATTGTAATACTGGAATAATTTTTCATGACTGGATGGTTCATATCACCTTCCTGGGCTATGAGAAAAAGAACTATCACTGCCCTCTAAAATACATGGGAATTATCTAACACTGGAGAAAGTCACTCCACTGAAATCATATTTTCTATATAGGTGAATATGTACTTGCCTTAGAATCGTCTTGAAAAATATCTTTCAAGATTAAGTGGGCTAAACTGAAATTTTACAGAATAGTAGTAATAAGAACGACAGCTAGGAATCTATACTTATAAACTGTGAAAACACTTCCTTTGGTCAAAGCACACAATATAATATGAATCGGTACCTAGAAAATGAAAGGTATTTCAGCCTGAGGTAAGCAAGTGTTCAGTTTTGAAATACAGTACACAGGGCTTTCGATCAATAACGTTAAAAATTTTGAAATAAGCCAGGTGTGGTTATGCATGTCTGTAATCCTAGGATTCTGGGATGTCAAGGCCAGCCTGGGTACTTTGGTCACTTAGCAAGAACCTGTCTCAAACATGAAAGAGAGACCGAAGGAGGAGAGGGAGGGGCAAGGGGAAGGGGAAGGGGAAGGAAGGGAGGGAAACAGAGGGCTGGGGACACAGCTAAAATGAAAGCACTAAATTCAATTCCAGTACTATCAAGCAGGAAAAACAAAAGTCTCGAAATGTCACTGTAACTACTATTTGCCACCAACAATAGATCATGTTTGTAGGGCTTCTAAAATCAGATAAGGAGACCAGAGCTGAAAGCTTCTGAAACTTATTTAGTGGCTATAAAATATTCTGAACTAGAATAAGCAAAATCAGACATAACTAATGCATTACTAGACAGCTAACAGTCACAGTTTACCTCCTCTGCCACCTCTGCCCATCCAATTCTTTGTGGCTCTTTCTAATGTACTATAAGTAATACAGACAACTTACTAGCAGATTTGTTGGTGTCATGTTCACAGTTTCAGAAACCAAGATGTCTACTAATTCCTTCTATACCACTAAATCAAAGACATATCCAGCAACAAAGCATGTGGATTACATGTAGCCCATCTACTGGAACTGAGGGATTCTGAGGAGTTACATAGCATTTTGTGTCTTATAGGAAGCTGAAAATATAAAATGGAAAGGCAGAAAAACAGGCTGATGCACTCACATTGGAGAAACCTCCATACAGAGGGGACAATTCAAGCACTAAGAAATGATAAGCCAGAGCAGGGAATTTAGCTCAGTGGTTCTGCTGCCTGCCTTGCAAGCACAAGAACCCGAGTTTGATCCCTGGTACCAAAAAAAAAAAAAAAGAGAGAAATGATAAGCCCCCTCTGACAGTGCCCCAGGTCAGGATCAAAGAACATTCACAATGAGGGATGGTGGAAGGTAACAAAAATATATTTCAAAAAAGCATCATACTTTTTTTTTTTTCAAAAATACTTTTCAACATGGGAAATTGAAGTCCTATGTAAAGGCAGAAGACCATAATGATTCCCCTCAACTCCATTATTTATCCTCCAGCTACAACAATTAACAAACCTTGGCCAACCTTGTTTCATCTGTTATACTGTTCTACTCTCTGTCTCACTTTATGAACCACAAGGGACCTTTGAAATCATCCAGTTTAATTACCTCATTTTACAAACAAATAAATTGACTTCTAGAAAAGTCAACTGATTTGCCCTGTGATCACACAGACCAGAAGAGACTCACAAAATAACACTGTGAAAAATAAGAGCAAAAGGCATACTAAGCCACAATGATCAAGACTGCTAGATAATGTAGTATGTTTGTGTGTGGTAGGTCAAACTGAAAAGCTTCTGGAGTGTGACCAAAAGGCAGCCCCTGTCTTCTACCTGATCTCTAATACAGACCAGTAGTAACATATTCTCCACTCCCCATTTAGTAACCATTCTAAAATACAGGGGCAAGGGCCCAAGATTCAGCTCAGTGGTTCCGCTGCCTGCCTCACAAGCGCAAGGTCTGGAGTTCAATCCCTGGTATCAAATAAATAAATTAAAAAAATACAAGGGCAAAATAATTCTCATCCTCCTCTTTATCAGGCTAAATTTAATTCATGTTTACTGAAAGCCAACAATGTGCAAAGGTACTATTACAAGCATTGAGTAAACCAGAGTTGGCCATTATCCACACCTTTCTAGCTTTGCAAAGTTTATATTCTAGTTGAGTTTTGGTTTTTTTTCTTTTGCTTGAAAGAGAAAGAGGCAAAAAACAGGTATAAACATTTCAGGAAAAGAAAAATTGTATGAAGTTTTTTTCAACAGGTAAGAGTTACCCTCATATAAGAGACCCAAGAGGATGTTACATACCGCAGAAAATCCAGTACACTGCCAGTCCTTACAGTAGAAACTGAAAATGCACGTGCAGCAATGTCAATGACCAAGGTTATCCAAGCAGCAGTTTGCAGTCCTAATAAATGTCTGGAAGCTAATGGCCACCACTTTGAGCACTTCTTGTAATTGTAGAGGATAAACATAACTTGTATTAATCTACTGATGTCTCAATAAATTTAGTATTAAAATACTGATATGTTTTTCTTTTTCTGATGTATACATTTTTTTTGGCAGATTGTGTGTGTGTGTGTGTGTGTTTGTGTGTGTGTCTGTCTGTGTAGTTACAGATTGTTAAGCATAATAAAAAAAGAAATAAGATGACGTGACAGGAGAAAGGCAGGGTCTTATTTTAGCCTGGGTGGTCAGGATAAATTCTCTGAAAGGGTAACATGTGAGATGAGACCTTCCTAAGAGCCAGGGATGAGAATTCAAGCGTCAACTTACATTTATCACAGATCCTTCAAGGGGGAAGACTGTGAGGAACTATGCTTAGAGTAGAAAGCCAGACGTCTAAGGGGGGTTGTGGCCTGCTGTCCGCAGCTGTCATCATTATCACCATGAGTCGTCAAAGTGGAATAAGGATTCTGAGCGAGAGCAAAGGGCTTCCCTTGTCATTAAAAGCTAGTGGCTAGGAACTGTGGATCTGATAAACCAAGAGGCCTGTGGAGACCCGAGGTTCTCTGCCCTCCGGCCAAACCCTGCAAGAAAGTGGACCACCGAGTTCACTGTGCACGATTGGTCCACACCTCCCTAGCCTCTTCACTTTTAAAATACTCCAAGGGTCACCTCCCCCACCATTGTCCAGAGGACCTCGCCAAGGGCTCTCAAGGTTGCAGCTATCAGGAACCACGGCCTCTCAAGTGGCAAAAAAGAGACTATTTTTCCAAGGCTGTGCTCTAGGCGGATTACAGTACCTGTCAGGAGGCGTGAGGAGAAAGAATGCGGGAATGCGGCCATAACGCATGAGCCCAGCCGCTGCCCTGGATCCCAGGATCCCCACTCCTCACTGGCTGCTGGGCGCCGCCATGTTGTTCGCCCGCCCCCCCGTGGGAGGAGGGACTTCCTGTTCGCCACTTCCGGCTTGCGGGTTGCTAGAAGAGAAGTGTGGCTGGATGTGATCTCAGCTGAGTGCACAGACTGGAAGGTCGAGATCCTGAAGTACCTCCGGGGGCCGTAGAAAGTACCTCGTGGATACGACCTTTGGAGAAAAAGCGGCGCCGCGCTTCCGGGTCCCAGAAATTGGCAGGCACCCTCTGGCATAATGCAGAGCGATTGCGAGTCCCGGCGATAGGCAAGACTTGGCGGGTCTTCTCGCGGACAGTTTAACGTTACACTTGGGAACCTTTGCAGTGGTCCGAGTGCCGAGAGGACGAGGTTCTCGTGGCGAGGCCTCAGCCTTCCCGTCTGATGAGTTCCACTTACAATTTTGCTATATTCACTGTCAAAGGGGAGCCTAGAGGAGCTCGGGGGGAACCAGTTCATCAGAATACTACGGATGAAGAAGTTGCTTGTGGTGCTTAAGGGTTGGAGCTCTGGCGTGGGGTCTCCTGGTCTTGTGACCTTGTTTGAGGAAGTTACCTAGGTCCTCTGACCCTTAGTGCAATGTAGGCTGTAATAGTATAGTACTTACTTTATAAGGTGTTTCAGAGAATAAATAATGTCTAAAATGGGTGGCGAGGCACCTACCACATAGAGACACTAAGTATGATAAATATCGTGCTTGCTAGAGCAGACCTGGCAGCAGACCTCCCCTTCAGGGGTTTCTTTTGTTGGGGTTAGCACATAGAACAAAAGTGTCCTTTTGTAAAAGAAGAGAGGACAATTTCTGTTTTCAATGATGAGATAACCATTTTGGTTCACTCCAGCATTGCTAGGCTAGGGGACCCTGAAAAAAGTAAAATCTTGATTCTGTAGGAGCTACACTATACTTGTAGGGTAAGAAGAGGTTATTTATGGATGTCATTGTAGCTGTAATGCAGAAAGTACTGCTGAAACCCAGATGATGTAACATTTCTGTGTAGTGGATTAAGGAAGGCTTCAGAGGTTTAGTTTAAACTTACTGCTATTCAGTGGGAAGAAAAGTAAAATATTTTCCAACCTACAGAAATGCTGAGAAAGTAGAGCATGACGTTTCAGTGATTAGCTTAGGTCCATCACACTTTGTCACTGTGCACTTGTCCAGGGGCAATCCTGAATCAAATTAATTAAAACAAAGCCCACAATGGGTTTTGAATAAGTAACTAAGAGCCTACCACAACTTGTTCAACCCATTGTTTTCCAGATAGTTTAAATGTAACTTTTGTGAGGTACCCTGAAATGCTAGCCTCGCTAAAACAAAATGCACAATTTTGAGAACTAGAATATGTTCATATTGAAAATTTTTGCTTATTTTTAGTTGAATTAGACTTTCAGGTCTGCAGCTATCTCACTTAATTAGACCTACCTTTCCTGGACAGGTTTCATTAGAAAGTGCCGTATACAAGTCTGTCCTGTAGTCACTATGAATTAGTTGGATTTTTAGAGAGAGGCCTTGGACATCCACATAACTCAGTTTTTTCGTACGTGTAGCAAATGACGTCTAGATAGATTAAGTGATTCACTCTTAACTATAAAACTTTGACCCCAGACATACAAGTCAGCATTTTTCCATCATTATATACATCTCTTTTAAAAAGCATGTTATAAAACTTAAGAGCCTAGTGGTACTGTTTCATATCCATTCTGATGCTTAAATCAGATGGTTGAATAATAACAATTGTTGTAAGGATGTGAAGTGACTGGAACCCTCATGTATTGCTCATGGGGATATAAAATAATATAACCACTTTGAAAAACAAGTTAGCTGTTTCTCATTAAGTTAAAAAAAGAATGTGTGTAACCCAGCAGTTCCACCCTCAGGGTTATGTAAAAAATGAAAATGTATATCCATATACAAATAGTGTGCAAATACTCATAGCAACCCTGTTCCTTATATCCAAAAAGTAGACCCAAATGTCCATCAACTGATTAATGTATACATAAAATGTGGTATATCCATACAGTAGCCTGTTATTTAGCCATAAAATGCAAATAAAGTACTAAGCATGCTGCAACATGGATAAACCAGGAGAACATACGAAATGAAAGAAGCCAGCCACAAAAGACCATATACTGGGTAGCTCCCACTTATGTGACATGTCCAGAATAGTCAAATCTATAAAGCCAAAGTACCTTACTGATTGCCTAGGGCTGAAAAAGGGAGTGAAATAGAAAAAAAAAGTGTGATTGCTGATGGGTGTGGAGTTTAGTGAAAGGAAGATAACATTCCTGATTTGATTGTTCTGATGGTTGCTCAACTCTAAATATAACTAAAAACACTGAATTACACACTTTAAGTAAATGGTATAGAATGTAAATTATCTCCCCTTACGCCTATTAAATTATAAAATAAACAAAAACCCAAAGATAAATTCAGGAAGAACTACTTAAGGAGACTAAAAGTAATTATTCTTCTGTTGAACAGACTGCTTATAATCAACCAGTAGCTGTTCTTCCTTTGGGTTGATTAGAAGACATTTTTTAGCTGTTCAATGGCTTGGTTTTGACTAATTCTGGACAATAAGATACAATAAGAAGTGATGTGTTTAACTTTTTCAGTGTCCACAGTAGAAAAGAGCACGTCCTTCCACGCTGGCTGGAATGCAGATGTGGTGGCTAGAACCTGAACAACATCTTGGACCACAGGGAGGTCCAGCAGTGAGTGCAACAAGCTTGGTGAGGCATGGGCACCACCTGCTTGTAGGACCGCCCCATCAGTCCTGGGATGGTGAAATAAAGGAGAAGTTAAATGTCTGATTTAACACAGTGTTGCTGTGCTAGATCTTCTGTTACTTGCAGTACTACTTAATTTGAACCAGTACACCATTAATATGAATATAGACTAGTACTAAAATTAGATAAATTAATAGGCCTTGCTCATAGCTTTAGAAAATGGCTTTGAGCCAGGTGGGGTGGTGCACACCTGTAATCCCAGCATTGAGGGAGGCTAAGCCAGTAGTATTACAAATTCAAGTCCCTCCAGGAAAACTTAGCCAGAGTCTGTCTCAAAATTAATTAATTAATTAATTTTTTAAAAAACCTTCACCTTTGCTTTTTATTGTTTTTACAGAAATGAGGGCTTTAGGAGATTAGGTAGTTGGTCCCAATTTGTGGGACATAAAATCTTTGGTGTGGAGGATGGGAATTATTTTACTTCACAGAGATACCGTACACCTAAAAACCATCCGACTCCCATATCCTTGTTATTCGTCGTTTTTCTTGCTCATAATTTATTCACCAGACTCTACTCATGTTCTCTAGGATAAGGGTACTCCGCTTCTCCAAAGAGGAGTATTAATTAAGGATATAAGGATATTAATCATGCTAATGATGCTGTTGCTCTTTAAGTGCTGGGAAATCTGTAAGCAGGGCTCTGCTTCTGCTGGGAGTGATGTTCAGAGAAAGTGCAAGCAGACAGGAAGCAGAGAGGAGGAGCTGGTTCTTTCTCCCTGCCCCAGTCATGCATTGTAACAGCTCTCAGTAGCAAAGCCAAATAGCCTACAGCTGTGTTGTTTGTGTACCTCCAGGTTTAGGCACAGTATGGAAGGGTTGATTTGGAGCCAAGGCAGATAACAGTTGTAAGTGCTTGAAAGAGTTGTTCTACTCCAAGTGTACAGAGGAGAGTTTAGTCAGCTTCCTATGAGCTTGAATATGTGATTTCAACAGATCCCTTAATCATGTTTTTTTTTTTTTGAGATGACTGATAACATCGAGATAGGATTACATCAAACACTACACCTCAGCTGTAACCTGCCAGCTGCACTTTTACATTTTTGTTCTCCAGTGTTTGGTTTTGAGCGTGAGTTTTGGGGTACCATAAGTGAGAAATGCAGCTCAGCATGCAGAAAAAGAAAAAGCAATAAAAACTGCCCTAGTAAATTCTATTCACTGTCATGGCTTTCTACCCTTTTAATAAACAGACCCTAATTGTGTTCATGGAGGCAAAGTACCCAGATTCAGGAGACGAATCATGATTGCTTTAAGCCAATCAACATAATCTCATTCTCATTTTCCTGATACACAGTAACCAAAAATGTCCTGTAATGGGGATGGCTATGTTACCCAGGTCTGTCTTGAGAGAGAAAAGGAGAGGTCTGCTGGTGAAGTTTTTGGCAATTTTTAACCTTAAAAGAACTGGACATGTGAAGGGAAATGCTTTCTCTGCTTTTGCTCTTTTGTTGTCAGGAAGCAGGTCTGAGAATGCAATTCTGAAACTGAGGCAACCATCTTGCAACTAAAAGATAAGCATGAAAACACACACACACACACACACACACACACACACACACACACTGAGGAAAGCAGAGCCACTAAGCCATGCAATTCTGAAACTGAGGCAGCCATTTTGCAACTAAGAGATAAGCATGAACACACACACACACACACACACACACACACTCTGAGGAAAGCAGAGCCACTAAGCCAAGAAAGGAATATCTTTCTGTGGATTTGCTGCTACGGTATAAACAGTATATTGTGATGACTAGGTTACTGTGTGGTACACTTTATTGAATGTTGGGTGATAAATTAAGTAGATGAGTTCCAGAGCTGAGCAACCTGGCAACAAAGTTTGCTAAAGACAGATGACAGAGAAGCAACTGGAATCATGTCAGCTATCCAAAAAGAATGTTTCCTAAAAAATAAGTTTGAATATGGTACCTAATTATAATTGTGGATTTATACTGTATTAGTACTTTTAAGCAGTACAAAAATTGTGTCATTTTGTGCATATATGTTTCTTGCTATTTTCTTTATGCCCAATTCTTCTGAGGATGTTATAATATCCAGCTTCCGACATTAGGAAGGCATTTCTTTCTGTTCTCTATTTCTCAGAATCTTAGAGCCTAGTGAATAATCTGGTGAAATGTTCCAAGTATAACAGCATCAAATCCTATTGGGCACTACTGATTAAAAGAATTGTAACCCACCCCTGAGACACATATTTTGGTCAGTTACAAGGAACTCTTAAAAAGTGATACTTACTAT